AGATCACTTTCCGGCCACAAATTTACTTTAAGGACCCAACTTGGTACCGAACAATCCGAAGCTAGCCAAATGTCATATAAAATAATCAATATACACTCAAAAGTTAATAATTTAGCTATTAGAGTAATTACCCAACCCAAATTGGAAGATTCCTAAAATTTACCTCCGGGCCCACGTGCCAGGATTCCAAAACTTTTCGAAGATAATTGTTACCCATAACCTCACGAACTCAAATATATAATTTTCACCCAATTCCATAATCATTTTAGTGGTTAAATCTCATTTTTATCACAACCTAGATTTTTCAACTAAAGCCATAATTTCCATAATTTTACATGTTAAAATCTACCCATAATCTATGTACTTAACTTACATTGGATAGAAATTACTTACCTTCAATAGCTAGGTGGAAAACCCCCCTCCAAGAAGCTCCAAAATCTCCCAAGAGATGAAAGAAATGAGATAAAATTGCCTAAGTCCCTACATTAAAAGACCTCACTGCCTCTAACGATTCTGCTTCTACGGACCTTGGGTCGCACCTGCAACACCGCTTCTGCGGACAAAGGTCCTCTTCTGCAGAAGACACCCAGCCCAGCTTTGGGTGCACCTGCGGAAGGGCATCGCACCTGCGAGCCCGCTTTTGCGGCTCGCCTCTCGCACTTGCGACCTAGGCCTGGACGACCCCTTCTCGTACCTGCGACTCCTTCATCGCAGAAGCGAGGCCGCTTCTGTGGAAATTCCTCTGCTTCTGCGAGCCACAGATCCCTCGTCCAAAACCGCATCTGCGATCAAAAGCTCGCACCTGCGGCCAATATCTCGTAGGTGAGGACGCACCTTAACTGGTGCACCAACAGTCCCCCAAGTCAAATTCCGAGTCTGATTTCCAATCTGATCCACACTCGAGGCCCTCGGGACCCCATCCAATAACACTCACACATCCAACAACATAACACGGACCTACTCGCGCGCTTGAAACACCAAAATAACATCTTGAAGTATGAGTGGGACGCCAAAACACATGAATCGAATTTTGAAACTCAAAAACCTCTAGAAACACTTTCGTGCGTCAGATTCCTATTAATTCAACTCGGAATGACGCCAATTTTGGTGTGCAAGTCTTAAATCATTATACGGAACTATTCCCGGCCTTGGAATCCCAAACGGACCTCGATATCCCCAAAACCTACTTCAAACCAAATTTAAAGAACTTTAAAACCTTCAACGCGCCAGCTTTCAACTTTATGCGCCGAAACACTCCCGGGTCATCCATAACTCAATCTGTACCTACTCTCAAGTCCAAAATCATCATACGAATCTATTTTGACCGCCAAATCCCGGTTCCGAGGTTGTTTACTTAAAATGTTGACCCAAGCCAAACTTAACCCTTTTAAGCTAAGGTTAAGGTACTAAGTGTTCCGATTTCGACCCAAACCCTTCCAAGCTCAAACTAACCGCCCCCGTAAGTCATAAAATAGTAAAAGCACATATGGGGAGTCTTAATTAGGGGAAGGGAGATCTAGAAAGCAAAACAATTGGTCGGTTCGTTACATTCTCCACCTCTTAAACAAACGTTCGTCCTCGAATGGGTCTAGAATCGTACCTGGAGTGCCGAGTAGATATGGCTATCTGCTTCACATGTGTTCCTCGGTCTCCCAAGTCGCCTCCTCGACTGGTTGACTCCTCCACTGAACCTTTACCACATAAATCTTCTTGGACCTCAACTGGCAAACCTGCCTGTCAATAATGGCAACTGGCTCCTCCTCATAACCCAGGATCTCATCTAACTGAACCGTGCTATATCTAACACATGCAACCTATCAGCATGATATTTTCGGAGCATAGACATGTGGAAAACCGGATGAAATCCCGATAGACTGGGAGGCAAGGCAAGCTCATAAGCAACCTCCCCAAGTCATCTCAACACCTCAAATGGACCTATAAACCTTGGGCTCAACTTGCCCTTCTTCCCGAACCTCATGATTCCCTTCATCGGTGAGACTTTCAAGAGAACCTTCTCACCCACCATAAATGATAAATCACGCACCTTCTGATATGCGTAACTCTTCTATCTGGACTGTATTGCGCGAAGTCTCTCCTGAATCAACTTTACCTTTTCCAAGGCATCCTTCACCAAATCAGTACCATATAACTTAGTCTCGCCGGGCTCAAACCATCTGATGGGCGAATGACATCGTCGGCCATATAAAGCCTCAAATGGAGTCATCTCAATGCTGGACTGATAACTGTTGTTGTAAGCAAACTCGGCCAAAGGCAAGTATCAATCCTACTGCCCTTCAAAGTCAATCACACATGTTCTAAGCATATAATCCAAGATCTGAACTGTCCGCTCCGACTGCTCGTCGGTCTACGGATGAAAGGCTGTGTTGAGATCAACCCGAGTCCCCAACTCACTTTGTACTGCCCTCCAGAAATGCAAAGTAAACTGAGGGCCTCTATATGATATAATGGAAACAGGCACACCATGCAATTGAATAATCTCCTGAATGTAAATCTGGGCCAATCTCACTGAAGAATACGTGGTTACAACCGGAATGAAGTGTGCCGACTTGGTCAACCTTTCGACAATGACCCAAATTACCTCAAGGTCCGAGGCAACCCAACTATGAAGTCCATAGTGATGCGCTCCCATTTCCACTCAGGTATAACCATCTGCTGGAGTAGGCCACCCGACCTCTGATGCTCATATTTAACCTGTTGGCAATTTAGGTACCTTGCTACATACTCAACTATGTCCTTCTTCGTAGCACCTGGATGAATAGAATACCGAGAACTGTGCCAAGGTCGATTTATGTCCTTCTTCGTACCTCGCTACATACTCATATTTAGCACGCGCGATTTATGCCGAGGTCGTACGGTCCAATCTAGAATAATGTGTACACTACCGAGGGTAGAGCGACACGAGCCATAGATGCATCTATTATACTGTCGAAGCATACGGCCCGCTCCACAAGAAGAGAGATTACTTTATGAACATCCGATTTAAAAGCTATTATAAGGCTAATACACAAAGAAGCACAATCTCTATTAACGGTCAAGTGACCCGCCAAAACTCAAGTAAGTGAAATTCGGTCCTTGCAAATCCTTTAACAAGTTTCAATATAATTTGAGCACTTTAATTAACAAGTAGGATACAAAAATCACAAGTATTTCATGATTTGGGTCCTAAACTACCCGGACTTAAGCATAATTAGTAGCTACGCACGGACTCTCATCACCTCGTGTGTACGTAACCCCCACAATTAGAATCAAATAGCAATTTAGATCACATATGGGGTAAATTTCCTCTTACAAGGTTAGGCAAGAGACTTACCTCGTCTCAAAACTCACTTTCAGGCCACAAATTTACTCTAAGGATCCAACTTGGTGCCGAACAATCCGAAGCTAGCCAAATGCCATATAAAATAATCAATATACACTCAAAAGTTAATAATTTAGCTATTAGAGTAATTACCCAACCCAAATTGAAAGATTCTTAAAATTTTGCGTGCAAGTCTTAAATCATCATACGGAAATATTCCCGGGCTCGGAATCCCAAACAGACCTCAATATCATCAAAACCTAGTTCAAACCAAATTTAAAGAACTTTAAAACCTTAAATGCACCAACTTTCAACTTTATGTGCCGAAACGCTACCAGGTCATCCAAACTCCGATCCGAACCTATGCCCAAGTCCAAAATTATCATACGAACCTATTGGGACCGTCAAATCCCCGATTCCGAGGACGTTTACTAAAAATGTTGACCCAAGCCAAACATAACCCTTTTAAGCCAATGTTAAGGAACTAAGTGTTCCGATTTCGATCCGAACCCTTCCAAGCCCGAACTAACCGTCCCCGCAAGTCATAAAACAGTAAAATCACATATGGGAGTCTTAATTAGGGGAACGGGGATCTAGAAAAAAAAAACGACCGGTCAGATCGTTATAAAAATCTTCAAAAAGGGTATGTTTTCTCTTTTTTTAAAAAGAAAAACGTTTTGATCATTAGTCTTTAAAATGGCTCTATAATTTTAATGACAAAATATGCCACTAGGCTCATTACTATGAGTCAATGCCTAAGGCCATCTCCAACCCTCCCCCATTTTTCCATAATGGGGGCAATTTTTGCCATAATGATGCTCCAACCCTCCCTCATTTTTGTCCCCAAAATAGGGGATAATAGTGTTCCTCCAGATATGGGGGTACACTATTCATCTCCCCATTTACTATTCATGCATATTTTATTATTTAACTCTTTTAATTTATCTCTTTATATATACCTAATTATGTTTATGTAATATCTTTATAATGTTAATTTTACATCTTAACTTTGGCGTATAATTTTGATAAATTAATTTTCGTGCATTTATTATTTTTATGTAAAATTATAAGTTAATTTTATTATAAGTTATAATTGTACAAAAAATATATAATCATCTCAAAAAATGAATGGTGCAAATATAAAATATTAGATGTTACTAAAATTGAAAGGTGCGAACATAAAATATTAGATGTTGCTAAAATTGAAAAGTGAAAATTGAAAATACATTAAATAAAAATACATTAAAATTGAAAATACATGAAAATTGAAAATACATAAAAATTGAAACTACGGTAAATAGCATAATAACTTAGTAGGGAGGTATGTCGTTTCCAGATACACCAAAATCATTATAGTATTGAGTGAATGGGGCCGAGGATTGTTGTGGTTGTGAGTGTGGATATTGTTGACTTCTTTTATACATTATTCGTTGTTGTTCTTGTCGCATAAATTCATGACGAGTCAGATCGACAATAGAATCCACATCCATCATTAAAATTTTATTTTCTTCTTTCATTTTTTTTACTCTTAGTTTTTCTTTTTGAACAGCCAAAACTTCTTTTTTGCCTCGGTTGCATTATTCATCGCCTCAACCATCCGATTATTTTCTGATTGGATTGTCTTCATATAATCTTCGTCAATTTTTCTCTTCATTTTTGCTTTCTTCACCCCACTAGGCCATTATGATGATGTGGAATCACCTGCAACATCCTCATTTAAATTTAGTGAAAATGATGATAAGTTAGGGGATGATAGATAGGGTGAATCAGGGATAGGATTCTCAGAGTCCGATGATATATTAGCATAGCCTTGCTTTCTTGTTTTTTTCCTTCCAAAATCGCCATCGTTAAACTTCTCAAACTCCTTCGTTATAGCCCACACATGATCAAATTTAAAGCCCTTTTTGAAGTTCAGATCTTGCATAAGTAAAACTTTTGCTTGTGTAAGCTGCAATATTAAAAAAAAAACAAAAAACAAACAGTAAGTAAATATATATACAAATAAAATATAAGTAACTACAAAATAAATACTCACAATATCCTGCTCAAAAGCACCACTAGGACGCAAATTTTCTACTTGACGTACACATCCGTTTAATTTTCTTACCGCCTTCTCAATCATTTGCATTCGGTGTTGCAACGATTTCTTCGTGCGACTCTCCCAAAAATCTTCCTTTGTATTGTTGTATGCATCTACGATTCGACCCCAATGATTTCACTTTTATTTGAATTATTAGTTAATCTATAATAATTGCTTACAAATTATATTATTTAAAATTTTATAGAATTTTTTTAATGGAAATTACAAATTAATGAAAATAAAAGATGGAATTTTTTTAATGGAGTTTAAATTTTTTTTTGAAATGAAAGATAATAATATAATATAGAAGAAAGAGAAGAATATAAAAAAGAATATTCTCTTTTAGAGGAAAAAATAGGGGAATGATTGGAGTAAGTTGTCACAAAAATAGGAAAATCTCATTTAGGTTGGAGATGGCCTAAGTAGTATTTGTTTACAACGAATCATTTTTTTCTAATTTTTCTATCGAAAAGAAAAAGAAAAGAAAAAACGAAAAGACCATGCTTTCCTTCGGTGTATAGTCTTTTCAGTCTCACCCTACGTGACATCTTGCACGTCAAGTCACCTCTTTCTTACTGTTTATTCATTTATCAGTTCTACCCCTCTCCAATTTGATCTAGAGCTTTCACCTTTAAGGGTAAATTGATAATTGAGCCTTCCTTCCTTCTTTCTGTATTTTTTTTGCTGTTTACCCATTATTTGTTCCTTTGTACTTTAATTTTGTTGCTTCTACTGCTCTTACAGGTGAGTTCAATTCGAATTTTCTTTTCCTCTTGCTTGGTTTATTGGCAAATTTTGCATATGTATTAGCTTTACTCACCCGTTTGAAGAAAAGTCGTATCAGATTTGGTCGCTGTTGCACACCAAGGTTGTTTGATAATATGCCTAAATCAACTGACCGTGCACAGTTGACTATGCCATCTAAGACTGACAAAGATTTTTACACGGTACTAAAGGAAATGAATTGCAGACACTATAAACTTGAAGGAGAAACTTAGATATAAAAGGTTAAAGTAAAGAAAAAAGTTATTGCCTAGTGGTCAATGGAGGGGAAGGAGAACATGATGTGTCTAGTTCAGAGGTAAGAAATATTAGGTAATTTGTTTCCATCCGTCTAAGCCTTGGCGGAGGGAATTATACATTGTTGGCCTGAGATAATAGGTACCCGGAGAAATAGTCGAGGCGTGCCTAAGTTGGCTTGTATCACTTTACATGTATTAATGAACTCTAAATGATGTGCCTGCTAAGTATTTTAATTTAGCTTCCTCTAAGTTTGAGGTAAATTACAAGTTACATGATGTTTGGGCTCATGCTATAGGTGATACTGGATATGTCCTCTTTACTTTTCTAATGATAAAAGTACTTTTGTAATATATACATGATGTTGCTTTCTCATTCTTATCTGAATGCAAATTTTCACTATGTTTAAACATAACCACCATTGCTCCGATCCATTACTTAAACGTATGATGAGGTTGATGAACTGGAATACAGCTGGGGCAAGCTTGCGTTAACTATATTTAAAATCTTGAATCTGTTGTTATTATTGGCTGGCTTTATCTTGATTTCTGTGCTCTTGAATTGAAAGCTACCACATCAACTCAGGGTCATCATAATTTTCCTGGTCCTTAAAATGAATAGGTATCATGCTGATATTTTTGTCTTTATAAGTGTGCCTGATCTAATTTGAAATGGGATATACTTTTGCCTCAAGCCTTTATAGTGTTAACCATAGCTAGTATATAATATATATAATGCATATATGTACAGTGTATGAATTATTTTGAGTTTTTATTTTTATTTTTAACCCATCTTTTACTTTGTCTTAATACTTCTTGCAGATTGAAGATGAACGTTGTAGGTTGTAGTTAAAATGATTTCATTTGAGTCATAATTTGCTGGTCAAACTCTATTTGTTGATGGCAGCAATTAGGTTTTCAACGTTGACAAGAACCCTTAGTTCCTCTTTAAGATTAGCAAATCAGGTTGATGTCAGACCTTCATTCGCTTGTGTAAATAGTAATCACTACGCTAGAGAAACCGCCTATTCCAAAAGCTATGCTGCCCCCAAATGTTTCGATATGAGGGGTATACACTCTGCTTGTGTGCCCAATCATGTTACTCCATATCTTAGTGGGCTATTTGATAATAAAAATTTGAGGGGAAGTATCTCAATTGTTGGGACTAGCCCCATATGGAATAGTCGATGGTATTCATCGTCTGTTAATAGTAAAGGAGATATTCTTAAGGGTTCAGAAGTTTCAGCTGGTGCAACTGGGTCTGATATGGATACAAGTGGTGTTGGTGGAAGTGAATGGATTGGTAAGGTTAAGGAAGCTTGGCAAAGAACCATAGATGCTGTGACTTATACTGGGGAAAAGGCGAAAGAGGCATCTTCTGAAATGACTCCTTATGTTGAACAAGTGCTTGATGCGCACCCTTATTTGAGAGATGTAATTGTTCCGGTTGGTGGCACTTTAATTGGTACCTTGATGGCTTGGATCGTGATGCCAAGGCTTTTGAGGAGATTTCACAAGTACTCAATGCAAGGCCCAGCTGCTTTGCTGCCTGGAAGCTCAATATGGGGGCAAGTTCCTTATGAGAAAAGTATTTGGGGTGCTATGGAGGACCCCGTTCGATATTTGATCACCTTCATGGCATTTTCACAGATGTTAGTAATGCGTTTCTTACTTGTTTTTTTCCCACAATGTTCTATCAGTTGTCTTTATCATTGATTTATATCTGTGTGCAGCGCGGTGATGGTGGCACCAAGCACTGTCGCATCACAATACCTTCTTCAGACTTGGAGAGGTGCTGCTATTCTTTCATTTGTCTGGTTTCTACAGCGATGGAAAACAAATGTGATCAGCAGAGCTTTGGTTGTCAAGAGCCTTGAAAAAGGTGACCGTGATCGGTTGTTAACTTTGGACAGAATCTCTTCCGTTGGCCTCTTCATCCTTGGGCTAATGACTTTAGCTGAAGTTTGTGGAGTAGCCGTACAGTCTATTCTGACTGTTGGTGGAATTGGAGGTGAGTTTTCTTAGCTTGGTTCCCACCTGCCTAGTTCTATGAGCGGGAAAAACAAAAGATCAGCTTAGTGTGCTAAATATTGGATCTTATATTTGAGGAATGATGTGTGCAATAGATCATTTGTTGCAAATGGATTTTTCCAATTACTAATTAACCATGGAATCATACTAATGTAAAATCTTTAAGCTAAGGGAAGACATACATAATCAGTAGTATATTTGACGGTTGCTTCATTTGGTTCTGTCACGAGGCACATCTTTTTACATTTCTAGTATAATCCCAGGGTCTAACTGCTCCTTTGCATCCTTATTTTCCTCATCAGCATCATTTTATTCATAGTAGTCTAAATCTGTAACTTCTTTGTCCTTTTTCGGTGCTTGAAATTTTATCATCTAGCATATTTTCTTTGGTGTCTCCAGTTGTAGTTGTTATTATTGTTTTTATCTATTTACTTTTTTGTGTATGTGGGAAACTGCTATGATTCATCTTTTGCCAGATCTTCTAACATAGTGTGTAGAAAATTTTCTCCATCATTCTACATAAGAACACATGTTAATCATTTTGTTGTTACAATCTACACATGCTGTATAAACTTCGAGAATCCTGACTCAGTTATGTTGTTCGGACTCTTCAAAATTGTTGTTGCACTTGTGTTGCCACGACATGGGTGTGGGTATGAGATCTACATGGGATTTGGTCAACTTACATGTCACGACCCAAACCAATGGGCCGCGACTGGCACCCGGTACCTTACTCAACCGAGTACCAACGTAACGTATCTTTCTTATTACATCATCATATACACGTGACATATGTGCCTAATAGGCAAACATGATCATTTATAAACTCAAAACATAAGCCGACAAGGCCGTACAATTTTTCACGTACACGACATATGTCTACAAGCCTCTAAGAGTACATAAATGCTATAAAGGTCGGGACAGAGCCCCGCCATACCAAACCATACACATCTAAATCATACTGACAAAACAAACAGCTTCGGAGCAAATGGAGTGCACCAATATCTTCTGCTGAGCTGATCGCCTACTTGGAAGACTCTCGACTTGTCTATCGAGACCTGCAGGCATGAAACGCAGCGTCCCCAGGCAAAAGGGACGTATGTACAAATAATGTACCGAGTATGTAAGGAATGAAAATTAGTAAATAATAGACATGAGAGAAACACAGAGTAAAAGACTCGACATGTACGTTTGCATAGCTCTGTGAATCATTTCATTTTTTATAATGTCATGCATATGCGTATAAATGTCATACCATGCATAGGTATATGCGTTCATAATATCATCAAGTCTCTAAGGGCATCCCATCATATCATTTCGGCCACTGTGGGCAAATCATCAACGTATACCAGCTGATCAGGTGGTGGTACGTATATAACGCCGTAACCTTTTCCCATATCCCATATACATATAATGCCATATGGTCATGGGTCAATGTACATGTATAAATGAATGCAATGCATGAGAAAGTACGTCAATAAAATCTCTCAGAATGTCATAAGACCATTATGCCTTTGATTAATATTATGAAGTAAACTTTTTCAACTTACGTATTTTTCTGAGACCCATGAACATATGATAAAATAATAGGACACATGGGAATTCAAGAATATAGGCACCTCTAATACTTCTATGTATAGAGTCATTTATGGAAGTTGTGCATTTTCTTGTTTCGTTTGTGTCATATAGATCATGCCAAAAGAAAGAAGGGATAACCTTAACATACCTGAGTCGATTTTCTTGACAATCCCTCTAAGACACGTATATTGTGACAACACGTAACGGCAAAATCGGAGTAGGAAAAATCCGTATGATATTCTTGAGAAAGATTACACCGTACTCCATTATAATTGCCCAATCTCACGTTCTGATATATGACTCTCATATTCTTAAGAATGAATATGTGACTTTCATGTTCTTAAGACTTAAAATGGCCCTCCTTTATTAAAAGGATATGTGACTAATTTCTAGCCTTACCATGCATGTTGTATTTGATAGAAGAATAATGATCTATAACCATGGTATATAGAGTCTACCAGTAATCATTGCAAGAGCACGCCCCATTCTTAAAATGGTGGAAACGGTTTGAAACTCTCAAAATAATTTCCTTTTCTATTAGCTTTGATGATAACTTCATAAAGTTGTGGCAATCCAAACAAATACGGATGTTCTTTATAATCTTAATGACACTGCAGCTAACATTCTTTGCCAACTCCCACATCTCAATTTTTGCCACATAATCTAATGACTTAAAGAGTCACAATTCTTGGGGGTGGCTTACTGCCACGTGGGGAGGGTCTAACTTTATCCAACTCTTTAATTTAATTGCTAATCTCCCACTAAAATTAATAATTACCCGATTATCCACATAATTAAGAATTATCTCAAATTACTTAAAACACTACTCACTTTTAACACACCTTATACACCTTACTATCATGGTCATGTGGTACCTTGTATGACACTAGTCCATAAATACCAGATATTTTAGCTCGGGCCGTATTTTATCCCAAAATGCCAAACGATGAAATTCATTTTATTCGATTCGTTTACCCTTTATCCTTCACGGCACTTACTTATCGCTCTTTATAAATAGCATAAATGCGTGTAACCTCAAGATAATGTCATTCCCGAGCTTCCATTAATTTATTTATGGCGTACTTTCACTTACAAAAACATGGGGTGTAGCATCATTTCACCCTTTTGGAATATTCGTCCTCCAATGTTGACTGATGCACTTATCATTCTCATAACCCATAGCTCTTGCTAATACTTTTTATTCTCCTTTCCATTTAGATAACTGTTCTTTGAATAAATCCAAAGGCCAGGGCATTCCCCCCATTTAAGCCTCTTTCTCACACCACGACTTGCAGTCGGAATCCTTTTAATCTCGTAACTGTTGCTACCTAATCATGCAGCCTGTACGACTCTAACTTTGTATGTGCGCGCCTATGCGACACTTCTCTCCTCTTTCCTCCAGCTCTTAGCCAATCTCTAGGCCTCACTTTGTGAACATATACAAAATTATGTCAAACTGTCCCTCTGAGCGTCATTAGCTTTACTACATCTAAGTAGGCCATAGTATACCGTAACTCTTACTTTGATTTATTGTTACTGAGGTCTGCGACCAAACTCCAGGTAACTCTTGTTGCTTATCCTATATGCATACAACTAAGTCTTTTAACGCTTCTTCATTACTGTTCATCTTAAGAATGATGGTCTAATCTCATATCGTACTTTGTATCTTTTATCCATCCATTGTTGATTCACCTCAATGTTGATCTACAATATTCCATCGATAACTTGAAACTTATTACGTAATACATTGCCACTAGGGCTTATGCTGCATCAAGGAATGCTTGAAGTGATTTTCCTGATCCACTTAGGGGCGATACTGTACTTCAATAATCGTATTTTATAGCATCCCAATGTGATTCACCTTAAAATTCCGTACAATCCATGAAATCCTCTTCAAATCATTACTCAGTCGAAGGCCCAAACGTCATCCGTTATCTATCACAATCACACCCTCATTCCATTGCCAGGGCAACATTCCATTTTTTTTTTATAGATATTATTAGTCTTAGACTCCTTTGAGTTCATTCAGGCTATACTGAACTTTCTATAATTTAGAGAAACCATTAGCTCTCTTGTTTTCATGGTTTAATCCCGAGGACTTATCCATTCTCGTCACCTTCTCACTCGTCCTTTCTTGTCATAAAACTTTGTCGCTTTACTATACTTTAGCTTGCGACCTATACATATCTATTTATACTATTCGCAGCCTTCCTTCAACTTGCTTGCACCATAGATTTCCTTGTGTTATTCTGGAACATCAAGTGAGACATCACATCGCATCTAACTCTTTTTTATTCTCTTGACTAGATCTCTCGGTACTTAGAAACCATAGGCTGGAAGGTATGTCACTGACGACGCTGCTATCATTCCTGGATATTGAATCGCAGTGCTTCTAACCTTCTATCCGAAGCATGGACTATTCACGATCTTCTGCCTTTGAGTATCTTGTACGTTGTTCACCTTTACCTTACTTACCTTAAAATCTCGCAATGTATGTTCTATCTCTTTCATGACCTCCCTTCCACATAGGTATAATTCACGTCCATAACTTGAAGCTCTATTATAATACTTGCACCTCTGGTGCATACACAATCCGGTGGGAGCATCGTACTGACTTCTTATGAGGCTGATACTTTTCTAACCGGCTTTATCGTAGGGCCGTTATAGAATATGGTTGTTGTACTATCCCTCTGGTACCTTTGATATTAAGAGTGATCCTGTAACGTTCTCAATCACGATTTCTCTAATTTTCTGGGTCCAATAATCAGATTCCTGATTTACTTCGTTGATGTAACTCTTCAGTTTTCTCCTTCTTCTGATCAGCCTTTATGTAGGCTTACGCTACCTCCCGATCTGCGGTTCATGGTATTAGTTATTACGTTTAGCCTTTCACGGGCGCTGAGGAATATCCACGATATAATCCTTTAATAATTCAATCCTTCGTCTATGACCTGGGCTCAATTCTTTCTTTTAACTTCTACCGGAACCTCCTACGGCTGTATATGCTGCATGTATAAAACTCCAAACTCTTAAGTGCGTTTATAACGTAACTAACTTTGGATCATGAATCGAATAATTCTTTTTGTTCCATCTGAGCTTTCTTTAAACATAAGCAATTACTTTTCCTAGTCTTTCTGCCCCCTTTTTGCTTGCATACTTAGCTTATCTTGGTGCCCATGCATATTGGAATTCCATATAACTCATATGATCTTGAATGTCACTTCTGATTTTACTTCCCGTTCATTAGCCACAGTAGGTGCCATTTTCTTATGGAGTGTATACAATGTTGTTGTGAGACTGTTGTTATAAGACCATTTCCTCCTTAGGTCAAGCTGCGAGCTAATTACACCGAATACTTGACAATTTTTTTTTTTTGATGTCCTTTCTTGCCTATAATTATCC